AATGCATAATACACTATTAGGGAAGACCCCCTTATGTAAAGCTTAGGGATTAGTCTTTGGGGATAGTTTGGCTTGGGAAGCCCCAGTCTTGCCTATTGTGTGCATGGGGCGTATCTTGTGCAGCTCAACTATATTGACGAGACCCTAATAGTATATCCTTTAAGTGAGAGTATTGTGATGGCTTAACCCAACATGTACTCCTAGACTACTTAGCCTTCGAGCAGGAAAATTTTTTTTTAATGGCCCCACATGCATATAGGTTAGGATAGTCTAGTCTGTGTACGATCATAACATTTTGTTTGTGTTTAAACTGTATTTTAATTAATATCGTGATTGAATGAGATATAAACTGAGTTGAAATTATTGTATAGATTGATGAGGAGTTTAATTATTGGTTTTATATTTAATGTTTGTGTTTGGCCACCTGACCTTATTATACATCAGTAACTAGAGTGAGATGTGTTCTCACTCTCTTATTTTTCCTCATGGATGTTTATATGTGGTTATAGGAGGCTTCCTTTTTGGAGGAGTCTACTTGATTGAAGGTAGAGCTATAATACTTGTGATATCGGAGATATTGAATTATGTTCGATGCTTTTTGTTTTAGGAATTTTAGTTTACTTTCCTTTAAGTTGTAATAGCAAGGCATTGATTTTGTTTATTTGAATTTTGAATGTGATAGTCTTACCTTCATTTGATGTTATTAAAGTACAATATTTTTTTTATAATTACTATATTATGCAAGAGGGATAGAGGGTGTCACATTTAATGGTATCAGAACCTGGTTGATTTAAACCAAACTTGTGTGTTATGTGCCTTTACTATGTTTCTATGTGTACCTTAATTCATAATGTTTTGTTGTGTGATATAAATGGAAATCCTTGTATGCCTTGCTAAATGACAATTGTAATGCTCTTGTTGATAAGAGTAGTGTTTTTTGTATTAGCTTAATGGAAGGTAGGAACAACCACACCATAGTTGATGCTCTTCAAGCGTTAGCACAAGCTATAGGAGTTGGTAGTGTTGGTAGTGCACTAAGCTGGTTAGAATGGTTTTAGCATCATAACCCACTTACATGTGAGGGAGGGTGCAATCTTGATGTGACCATGAAGTGGCTAACTGAAGTTGAGAAAATTTTTCATGTGATGGAGTGCCTTTTGGCTTATAAGGTTAACCTTATGACCTTCATGCTATCGGATGATGCTTACTATTGGTGGGAGGGTACCTTACAACACATGATGGCTGCTGGTACTTATTTGAAATGGGATTTCAATTTGATCTTCCTAAAGAAATACTTTTTTGACGACGAGAGAAGTTAGAAGGAAGTGGAGTTTATGAACTTGCAGCAAGGAGATGACACGATGGTTGAGTATGTTGCAAAGTTTGATAAAGAAGTGACCTGTTTCAACTGCCATGGATTTGGACACATCAATATACAATGTTCTCATCCTAAAACGAATCAAACTACTGAAGCAAGTTCCCAACTTAAGAGACTAAAAACTACTAGGAGAATCTTTACTCTTAGTGGTGTTGAAGCCACTCAATCTGAGAATTTGATACAAGGTACTTGTTTCATTGTATAAAACCTTTCCGTTGTATAAACCCTATGCCAACACTTTGAAATTTCTTGTGTCTAGCTTAAAGCATGATCTAGTTGTAGAAATCCCTATACATGGTCCCATAATCATATCTAGTGTCTATCTAAAATGTTTTATTTCTATTTCTAATGGGCATATTATAGTTGCCCTAATCTGTTTACCTCTTAGTCAACTAGATGTAATCATTGGAATGAACTGATTATCTTCCAACCATGTCTTGTGGAACTGCTATAATAAAATAATTTCTTTTGGTAAGAGTAAGAGTACGGATTTTGTTTTTGCCAACCAAACTAACTCCTTTTTAAAAGAAAATGAAAAGGTATACAAGATTTATCTTTTAAAAATCGAGAAGGAAAAGAACTTAAGTGAGACCCCTTTAGTGAAAAAGTTTCCTAAAGTGTTTCTAGTAGATGTAACTAGCTTACCACATGAGAGAGACTGAGTTTTCCATAGATTTAGTACTTGGTAATGCTCCTATATCCATAGCACCTTATAGGATGTCCTCTAAAAAATCAGTTGAACTTAAGAAGCAATTAAAGGAACTAATAGAGAAGCAATTCATTAGGCCTAGTGTATCATCTTGGGGAGTGTCTATGTTATTAATGAAAAAGAAAGATGGGAGTATGAGGTTATGTGTGGACTACTGCCAACTCAATAAGGAAACCATTAAGAATAAGTATCCCTTGCCTAGGATAAATGACCTTATGGACCAGTTAGTAGAAGCATGTATCTTCAGTAAGATAGATATAAGATCAGGATACCACCGAATCCTAGTGAGGTTGAAAGATTTTTGAAAGACTACTTTTAAGACTCATTATGGGCACTATGAGTATTTATTTATGCTTTTTAGTGTGACTAATGCATCTGGTATCTTTATGGATTACATGAATAGGATACCCATACCTTGATAAGTTTGTAGTGGTCTTCATAGATGACATCCTTGTATATTTTAAGACTAGGTAAGAGTATACTACGCATCTTAGGATAATGTTGCAAACCCTTAAGGATAAGCAACTTTATGCTAAGTTGTCAAAGTGTGAGTTTTGGCTAGATAGTGTGAGCTTCTTAGGACATGTGGTTTCCAAGGGATGAATAGTTTTAGATCCTTTTAAGGTAGGAGTTGTACTTAAGTGGAAAACACTTAAGTCAATTTTTAAGATTAAGAGTTTTCTAGGACTAGATGAGTATTATAAGAGGTTCATAAAATATTTTTCTAGACCAACTTTACCTTTGACGAAGCTGACTAGGAAAAACCAACTGTTAAGTCAAAAGACAATCTTAGATCTCTCAAGTTTTAATGATAACAAACCTAAAATTTTCTTTTTCACGAAATAAGAATTATCTATAAGATATTTTATATCAGACGAAGTATGAAAAATATATATTGTCTATAAGATAAAGAAAATAAATTAAAGCATATGGTCTGTCTCATTATGCATTAATTGTAATCTTTTAAATGAGACTAAAAATAAATTTCATTAAATGATTTATTCCTTAACAGATCAAAAAAGAAAGAAGTCTTGAAACTCTCAAAATCTGTTAAAGAAAGAAAAGACAAATTGTTCATCAAAAGCAAAAGGAAAAATCCCAAAAATCATGGATAAAGCAGAAAAAGGCTCTGCAAAGAACTGCTATACATTGACTTCAATTGCTCTATGCTGGCATTACTTCTGCCATGCTCATTTTAGAAGGAAATGATGATAAGTAGTTTGTTATATCGGATAAGAGATACACGCCTTACTGAAAGACATTTAATACTCATATTAAATACAACGATAATCTCTAGGGTTAGTAGAGAAGACAAACGAAGCAACTTGTGAGTTTAACTCAAAATTATTGCAATAATACATATAAGTCATATACATCAAGAAAATTGTATAAAGAAACATATTGATATACATAGAGTAGAAAAGCACAAAGAAACACTTATTATAAATATTATATATATTTCTTTGTAGATTACATTGACTTTCATGGCTGATTACACAAACTCTAGAAGAGACGAAACAATCCTGTAATCATCTATTACCTTTGTTGTAAGGGTTAAGCTTGGAAAGGCTTATTTGAAAGAATACTTAGTATTGAGCCTAGAGAGACTTGTTTGAAAGAATACTTCGTGTTAAGCCTGAAAAGGCTTATCTAAAAGAATACTTGGTATTAAGCCTAGAGAGGCTTGTTATTCAAAGAATACTTGGGTAGTTGCTTGAAGAGGAAAGTCAAATGCTACTTAGGTTTGAGCCAAAAGTCACTTGGTAAAAGAATACTTGTAACTTTGTTAAAATTTAATGGAACTCAAGATGGTTGGATTGAGAACTGGATATAGTCTCAGTAGTTAAGATGAACTAGTATAAAATCCTTAATGTTTATCTAACTATTCTCTAGCACTTCATCTGATAGATTATTTTGTTTTCACCGCAAAAAACGTGTGATTTTTTTATACACATTATTCAACCCCCTTCTAGTGTGTGTTTTTCTCTCCACGCTAACCTTTTATGTGGGACTCTAGGTGTGAGGAGAGCTTCCAAAAGCTTAAGGGGAGGTTAACTAGTGTACATGTTCTAGTGTTACCCGACCTTGGTGAAACCTTTATAGTATATTGTGATCCTTCTAAGACGGGATTAGGAGGGGTTTTTATGTAAATAGGTAAGGTAGTAGCTTATGCATCTAGACAATTGAAAACCCATGAACAGAACTACCCTACACATGACTTAGATTTAGTAGCCATAGTCTTTGTCCTTAAGTTATGGAGACATTACCTTAATGGTTTAAGATTTGAGGTTTTTAATGACCATAAGAGCCTTAGATATTTGTTTGATCAAAAGGACTTAAATATGAGGTAGAAAAAGTGGTTAGAGTTTCTTAAGGATTATGATTTTGACCTTAAGTATCATCTAGGTAAGGCCAATGTAGTGGTTGATGCCCTAAGTAGGAAATCCTAACAAATATCATCTTTGATGATTAGGGAGCTTGACCTTTTAGAAGAATTCAGATACCTTAGTTTAGTGTATGAGTTAACCCCTAGCAGTGTTAAGTTAGGGACCTTGAGAGTGACTCATAGTCAAGTAGATGAAATTAAAATGGGCCAGAAGGTAGATTTGTTCCTATTAGCTTAAGTGGAGAAGTTAAAGTTAGGAAAATATAGTGAATTTAGAGTAAGTGTAGATGGAGTCTTGAGACTTCAAGATAAATTGTATGTACCTAACATCCTAGAACTTAAGAAAATGATTTTAGAAGAAAGACATAAAAGCAACCTTAATATCCATTTAGGAGCCATTAAGATGTACCAAGACCTTAAGAAGATGTTTTGGCAACCTAAGATGAAGAAAGAGATTAAAGAGTTTGTGTTAGCTTGTCTAATATGTCAAAAATCTAAGAAGAACACCAGAAACCATCAGGAAAGCTTCAATCCTTAGACATACCTATATGGAAATGGGATAACATATCCATGGACTTTGTAGGTGGGTTTCCTAGAACCATAAGGTACATGGATTCCATTTGGGTGATAATGGATAGGCTCATTAAGTTTGCTCAGTTCATTCCGATCAATATGATATACCCTCTAGAGAGGTTGACTAAGCTATACATAGGTGAAATTGTAAGACTTCATGGGGTACCCTCTAGTATATTTTCTAATAGAGACCCTAGGTTTACCTCTAGATTTTGGGAAAACTTGCATAAGGATTTAGGAACAAAGCTTAGGTTTGTCGCCACCGGCCCCAAACGGGCTTTCGGCATTCGCG